AAATATATGAGCTTTTAAATTGGACGACAATGTTTATATAAACATACTAGCAAACCGAGCGAACTCCGTTTCACCACCAGATGGTTTCATTTTATGTAACATTTTGTTTGGTTAAAGGAAAGAATTAAAAGATGAAGGAAAAAATTACCTGCTGTTGAAATTCAATAAAAATTGCATAATACACGTGATTGATTTGATGGTTTCCAATTGAAATGTTAGGAAACAAATAACTTATTTTTTTATTTTTTTGCACAATTTCACAGTGAACACAATGCCGGTTTGTCACATGAAATTAACTGAGCAGAGAACAATGAGCAGCTGTCAAACAAATGAGTACAATCACACAAAAAATATTAGTTTGTAGTACATGCTAAGTATCAGAGATGACGCTGTATGTGAAAAAAGGAAAAGTGTTTTCCGCTTTTCCGTTTGAATCTTTCTTTAATGTTCTTTGCTATAAACCTCACGGAGCCCGAGACCTTTCCAACGAATGCAAAATCGTCGAAATCGGTTCGTGCGTTTTGGAGTTATATCGTCAGGAAGGAAAACCCGACTTATTTTTATATAATAGAAATATAAAATATATGTGAAAAGTAAATCAACAAATCTATATCAAGCAGAATTAGAATAAAGGATCCTATCTCATATTTCAAAGCATTATATAAACTGAATTCACAACTCATAATTTAGAACTTTTATAATTATTTGTTATCTAACATTGAGTGAAAACATAAATATAATATAAAATATTCAAACTGTATGGGCGAGGTAGGGGCTTATTTATACTATAATAGGGGTACATAGTAATAAACATTTTTCAATAGGATATTTTAAACGATATTAAAATATTTCTTTATATTAAACATGTAATAAACCTTAATATTGTCATCGCTACTATCCCGCAGGCCGACGAAAAAAACAGAATTGTGCAAGTGCATTATTTTTGACAGATAAAATAAAATTTAACTTATTAAAATTGAAATTGAATTTATCGAAGGACATTTGCAGATAACAGGCAAAAATGCAGAAAATGGCAATTCACTTGATTGATTGATTGATTTAATTGATTGAATGATGATTCAAATACTATTTGAGTCTCGTTGACAGCACCTGACAAAATGTGAAGAAAATGTTTTCTTTTGGGAGAACGAAGCATTCGATGAGAATAGTTCAGAAACATTTTATACATATACGGGGAAACCTCTTGATTACTTTTTGCAGGGACAGGTCCAGCCGTTTAAGAGATTCGGAACGAAGAGTGCAAAGCGATCATCTGATTAGAATAATTCAAAAAATATTTTGCCTATTTTGACAATGTGAAAAATTTATTAGTTTTTGGGGAAGGCATTTTTTTCAATTAAAAAAGTGTTTTCATAATATATTATTTTCAAAAATATATATTTTTTTTAAATAGATTAGAAAATGATTTGGAATTGGTTTTAATTTTAATTCAAGCTAAAATTCTAGAGCTTACCTTTATCGATACCAACCTTGGTCAACTCTATATAATGGTATATATTTTGTCCAGCGCAAAAATTAAAAAAAAAAACTGTTAAAGAAGAAATAGTTAAGAATCACAGGGCGATTTAAAACAAGTTTTTGTTTCAATCCGAAAGTTTGTGCGTCATATAGCAGAAGATTATTACAGCATTTCCATACCTATACTTGCTCTTACCTACATATATAGTACTTTTAACGACGATGTATCAATTTGAGTAAATCCTGTTTTTGAGCAATTCAAATTCTTAAAACGTGTCCCAATCTATCAAATAAATATTCGTATAGACGAATAAAAAATACAAATTTATGTATATAATTTTGTTAAGAAATTGTTGAATTTGTAGCCATTCTACAAAAATTTTGAAGGCCGATTTTAATCATTCTCAGGTTGCAAATTAGAATAATTTTAGATAAGAATATATCATTGATAATGGTACAATAAAACTAAATATAATCTACATTAATGTGTCCATCACAGTGTAAACGTTTGGAACGAGTGAGCACAAACTAATCTCGGGTTCAATCCCAAACTCGACCAGCTCAATATCTAGCAGTAAGATATCAAATTTGCACTTGATGTTATAGATCTCAAATACAATCTCAAGTTATCAAGTTAATCACGTTTTAAAGTGTAGTGTTGAAATATCAAAAAAATATGAAACAACAAGAACCCTTATAACTTAGAAATCGTAAAAGAAATTATGATTTCATAAAAAAAATTAATTTTTTATAGTAGCATTATTTCTGCAATGCGTAATTGTTACTTTATATCAGAATATTTTTAACTTATATATGAAAACATAAGACCAGCAAAAATCTTATATATGATCCTATTTGAAAGTGCAGCAATAAATTTATTTTTTGGAAACTTGTCAAATTATGTTTTCATCCTACTATCGGTAATATTACAAAAGCCCAATTCATAAACATTACCATATAGTACAAAAATCTATTGAAACGATACAATATTTTTAAAGATAATCATTGGATATCGTATAGAAATCCCAAAAAATCAAGGATTATGCTTTAGATTATTAGATTTTAGTTTACTTTAAAAAGTGTTTAGTAGTAACAGTAATTGAAAATTTAAAGGTAAATTCAGTTTAAAAAAATTACAAGAAATAAACTTAATTAATAGTTACTCCAACTTTGCTGATGAATATTTCTCATACTTGGTATCCCAAATACTAAATCAAGGTTATGTATAGTGTTGTCAATGTAAAAAATGTGCACATGAATTTTATATTCTGCATGGGTTAAATATTGTAGATATTATTTTGTAAAATTTCTTTAAAATTAAAAATAAGACATTCGATTTATTTGACGGCTGCCTGTCCCATTTTACAACGCCTATGGGGTAAAAAGAGGCAGATGACAAATTTTAGAAAAATAGTAAAACACACATTTCTAAAATTAGAATTTAACTGGGAACTTTACTGAACATAGTTTGATAGTTGTTTGTTTGATAAGTGTTATGTGTTGTGATGTAGTTAGATATTATTATATCTTAAAATCAAATTGAATGTTCGATGTTACCAAGTCAATTTAGTATCCAGATGCAGCTCTAGATATTTAACAACTCTTGTCTGCGGTAGCATTTTATTGAAAAAATTAGCTGATGAATAATGGATACAATTATTTCTGGATAGAAAATATAATACGTATAGACTTTGACAGTTTACTACAAATCTCCAAAGATCTTCAAATTTATGAATCTCCAAAGTTTCAGCCAATGTTCGACTTCAGATACGTGAGAATTTCAATATTTGAAAGAAAATGGTTGCTTTTTTTTAATTTATAAAGCGGGCCATGATGTCGAACCTTGTCAAGGTGTTATTGAAAAGCACTTCAAACTTCACTTCAAATTTCAAAATCTTCAAATCTCTGAATCTCCAAAGTTTCAGCCAATGTTCGAATTTAAATAGGTGAGAATTTCAATATTTGAAACAAAAAGGTTGCATTTTTTTAAAGTTATAAACGGGTCATGATTTTAAATCTTGTCAAAGTTTTATCGAAAGCTTGTCTTATCCAAGACACACCTCAGAACAGTATAGATGTGATTTGGTTGGAGTTCTCAATCTTTTCAGTCACTCGGTGAATTTGTTCTAGAATTGACTGTTTCTCTTGGAAACCAAATTGGTGATTTGGGATAATTTTTGAGTCCTGCAAGTACAGTGGCTTCTCATCAGTATTTCAAAAAAATGGTATCGTTTATAGGAAGGCTGATAAAATATCTCAAAGGGTTTTGGAATCATAATTATCTTTGCTGATTTTTATATGATTGGAATTACCTTGAGGCTAATACTTATTGTTAAAAATCTGTAGCTCTCATTAAATAAATAGTTCAACAGTATGTTTGGAATATTGTGGACTTCAGGAGATTTTCCAAAAATAAATTCATCATATCTTATAAAATAAGTTTAATTTCATGTAGTTAAAGGTGAATCTTGCTTTATCTGCTCTTTGTTTTAATAAAAGTTTTTATTAAATTAATAATAACATAATATATATACATTTTAAATATATTATTCTATTCCTTTAAATTCTATCACAATACAGCGATATTAAACATTGTAGATATTTTGGCTAATCTGAATATTTGTTCGATATATTAGCTGTAATCCTTATTTCAGCTTATGAATAAATAAAGGATAATATTTAATATAGTTCTTATAAAATATATTAAGTAGATTACAAATATAATTGAATTGACCGAGTTGGCCAGGATAAAATAAATTGATCAAATTTGTGATGAGGTATATGGGTTCGATGAATAATAATGAGGAATGATTACAATATTGCGAAAACCAAAATTTATGAGTAGTTTCAATTTTAGATATTCTCACCTCATAAAATTATGCTCTATTATTACATACTATAATAATATTATAGAACAAATTATTGTATTTTTTGAAATGTGTATCCTTTGATTATTAATGGATTTATAATAAATATTCAATGATGTAATGATTTTGGTCTTATAAAATTAATTTTTTGTCGCTTATGATAACTGACCAAAATAAATTTTGCAAAATAGAGATAAAATGCAAAATTGGAACTGTTTGGTCCAATCCAGTAAAAAATAGTTGAAAAATAGTAATACTTATGAGCCAATGTTATGGCAAGGCTATGACAGTTTCCATTCAAAATCGTACTAAATACTGTCAAAATGTCATGTATTTGCTGTACGACCAGGTGTCTTACACAAAAAATGCGACTTTACCCATATTTTATTAAACCATATTACAAAAATCCAGTTATCATAACATCTTTTTTTTGACATACATTTTCTAGGTTAGGTTTTTGCAACTAGTACTGCACATAGGATTTTAACAGTTTTTAGTACCACTTTATATGAAAACTGCTACATAACATAGCCTTGCAATAACATTGGTCTATTTCATGGTAGAATCGGCTTCTTATTCTCGAATATAAAATATTTTTGGGTTTTCAAAATTTCCTAATGAATATCTGGTAAATTTTTAGTATTGAATAGTTTATTTTAGTTAATAAGGGAAACAATTAAAGCAACTTTGATTCTATCCATGGCAAAAACTGTGACACTCTGGTATAGACTCCAGGAAATCCTGGTTCAGCGCATTTGAATCCGTAAGAAACCACACCTATCAGGTAATAATGGTATCCGTCTCGGTTATCATTGATCTAAATTTAAAAACGTAAATTTATAATTAAATCAATTTCAGTGTACGATTGAACATAGAAATGATCAATGTTTTAATGGATGATCTATTCCACATATGAATGATGACTGTTCGACAAATGGATGATGTAAATAGATGGAAAACTGCACTTATTCCCCAATCTCCATTCTAACTAAAAAACAAAATTTTTACTTCCCGTAGGGTGAGTTATTGTAATCGTCCAAAACCCAAAATTTTTTGTATATCTTCATATTTCATAGGTTTCTGAATATTCTGGCATTCCTTAGAATAAAATTATGTGTGTGTATGTGTGGACACAATTTTTTGTCGACAATTTCGGGCGTACGGAACAATTTGAATGATTCAAAAAATACCGTGCTGATTAGTTTTTGGTAAAGGTTGGACCGGCCGTATCGTAGATACGAAGCAAAGAGTGCAGAAAATAGACATCGAGTTTTTGAAAAAACAGAAAATCCAATTTGATTGATTTAAAAAACCTTCAATTCGTAATAATGGGAAGAAGTGGTGATTAGTTATTGACAAAGGCTGGTCCAGCCATTTCGAAAATAAAGAGTAAATGTGCAAAAAATGGCAGTTTTTGAGAGAACTAAGCATCCGATTTGAATGATTCAAATATTTTTTCGTTTGTGTTTGCAAAACGATTGCTTTTGGGGAAAAAATATTTAAAGTTTTGTTTTTAATTTTCAACAAAAGTTCTTTTTTGAACTTGAAAACATTTAATACTTCATTACGGTGCGGAAAATCCCAGCAATTTGCCTTTAGGCACGTTGCCATATACCACTAGCTATAATTTTTGCTTCAATAACATAACTATGTAAAGTTTTAATGTCAAATTTCGCAGACATTAATCATGCTAGCAGGTTATATGGAAAAGATCCTCGGATCGAATCTCGGTACTATGTACAAAAGTTGAATCCAGAAATTACTACGAAAAAATTGAGTTTTGGATCAGAGTATACGTGAAGCCAAGGGACCTGTATGAATTAGAAATTTCATTACAATAGAATATAAAAAATGATGTCTTTAACAAGTTAACTGTGTTGACGAATATATGAAATGCAAGAGTTATGGAAAAGTGGCAGTGTTTGGTGAATTTCCTACCTATTTTAAATAGTAATATCTTCAAAATACTCTAAATATCTTGTCATTTAAGAATGTATTTTGCTTCCAAGAATTCCGTTTTACATACGAAACGGTCATTGGCATTCAGAATATATTCTAAAATGTTAGGATGTTGGGTATATTTTAAGATTGTTTAAACCAAGTAGTTGTAAGAATGATTTTATCTCAAAGCTTATCCCATGAACACCCGAAATATGAAGAAATATAAATCATTAGGATTGAGATTTAGCTTTTAAATAAAATTTAAACATACCATTGTTAACTTCTCGTAGAGCAAGTTAATCGTAAAAAAATCGAAAATTAGAATAATTATATAATTTTACGTTTCAGTGGTTTCTGAACATTTTGTCATACTTTAGAAAAAATCGATGTTGTGTGTGTATGTGTTTGGATACAAATTTTAGTCGATGATTTCGGGAACACGGTTCAGCAAAAACAATCGATTCCTATTGATAAGGCAACGTGCTAATTAGTTTTTGGAAAAGGCAGGTCCAGCCGTTTCAAAGATACGGCAAAAAGTGCCAAAAATGGTAACTCAGTTTTTAAGAGAACGGAGCGTCCGATTTGAATAATTCAAAAAACATTTTACTTGTATTGACAAGATGAAGAACTGATTAAATTTTCATGAAGGCAGGTCTAGCCATTTGGCGGTCAAAAATGATCATTTGACATATGCACATCAAATTATCAGATATTATGACAATAAGTATACATTTTTTTACATTCCTATGGGTTCCGTTCCAATGTTTATCAGTTAGACGTCGACGCGGCGCTTACGCGCTTTGATATTTAATCTCTATGCAGTTAAAGTGCTTTGAAAAAAAGTTCAGAATTTCCAAAATATTTCAAAATAAAGATTTTTTTCTAAAAGAAATCTTTTTTCTAAAAAAGTAAATTGTTGTTATATATAGTATATATATATATTGTTATATATATATAGTTTCTCAAAAATCGAATTTTTTCAAAATAATTTTTTTTCAAAAACGTTAATCTTTTTTAAGAAAAAAAATGGTATGGAAAGTTCCAGCATATAACAAGCTAGTTATATGCAAGCCTTCTACAAAGAAAGGTGTCAAAATGAGTATCATAATGTCAGCGACAAATTGATGTTATGATAATGAAAATGTTAATATTGATATCATAATATGTTTGCCAATGAATACGTTATGTTGTCGTATATGCTTACCAATGGCAACATAAGTGAAACTGATCCTCAAGCCTTTTACTAAGAAAGGTGTCAAAAGGTAAATCATAATGTCAGCGATAAATTAATGTTATGAGAATCAAAATGCTGATAATGATACCATAATATGTTTGTGAATGAATTAGGTATGTTTTTGTATATTGCTCACCACTGGCAACATAAGTGGCCCACCGCTGTCGCCTTGGCAAGCATCTTTGCCACCATTGGCGTATCCAGCGCACAAAACCCGTTCATCGATTATCTGAGCTTTAAAGCTCGCGTAGTTTTCCTTGCACTGTTCATTGGTCACCACTGGTATTTGAAGTTCTTGAAGTTTAGTAGCTGAAGGCCCACCTAAATAAAAGAAAACAATTAAATTATACTGTTAATTATCTATAAAATAGAATTACTCTTAGTAGTTGGTTTAAATTGTACCTAAAAGCCTAAAAATATTGCAAACATCCTAACATTTTAGAATATTTTATGAGAAGCCAGAGACAATTTCCTATTTGAAATGGAATTTTGGAAGCAAAATATTTTCTCAAGTGTATGGATGTTTAGAGCATTTTGAAGATATTATTATTAATAAATATTATCTATAACATAAAAGATATAAAACGATTGCTAAAATATAAGGTCATAATTTTATTATTAATTGTTTTGTGCAATATTTCCGAAACACAGATTTATAATATCGAGAGTTTTAATAATTGTATTATTTTGTTCCAGACTTCTAAAATTAACTCTGCGACATTTGTTCAGAAAAATAATTTTTGAACTTGAGTAATTATAGTGTAAAATCAAATCGAAAATTAAATATAGCTATATAACAACAATAATACATATCAAACAAAAACTATCGAACAATGTTCAATAAAACTTTCAGATTTCCCGTAGAGTAATTTAATAGTAATGGGCCAAAACATCTAAATGAAAAATTTTGACTATCCTTACGTTTTAGAGGTTTCTGAATATTTTGGCATACATGGATATGTATAATTCGTCGACGATTTCGGGCATGTGAATTAACTGATTTGAAAAATTCAAAAAGCATCGACTCCTATTGATAGGAAGATGTGCTGATTAGTTTTTGGCAAAAGCAGGTCCATGCCATACCCCACTAATTTTATTTTTTTTTTATTAGTTAGGTTATTCAATCAAAACAATGCAGTTTCATTACTAAATTGAGCACTAAATTTGTAAATTATAATCTAAATACATACATACATAAAACATAACAAAAAAATCACTACAATCATAAATTTGTCATAATCAGTCTCTTTGTTTTTATATATATTATTACAAATGAGATAAATACAATTTGTTTTAAAATATAGACATCTTTTATCCTTACTTTAAATAAGTATCATGAAAAATTCTATACTTTATTTGTTTCTGAGATAAAATGGACCTATCACCCGCATACTCTTAAGCCCGATATCTACCTATATGATATTAGTTATCCCAGTTTTACTATTACAATTGTTCATTTTTTAAATAATATGATTTCCTATATATAATAATATGTCCGTACTGCTTTATTGTTTTGATTAAATTTGTATATTTTTTTAGTTTGAAGTTCGTTTGGTAATATATGCACCTTATATCCTAATGTTATACACAACTATATTTATTTAAAATAAAAAAATTACCAAATCGTAAAGCTCCCCAACCAGCGACAAATGGAAATTTGCGAACGTAGTCATCATTCCTTACATCACTTGGTGTTGGCAGACATATTGGTTTTACAGATTCTAAAGAACACATCATTATAAAAATAAAGAATTCAAAACATAAATGTCTTTAAATCCTATAATTATACAAGATTGTGTCAAACTTTAAATAAAATTAGATTATTATTTATCTAATAATTTGGAAAATGATGTATGTTATTTTATTATAATTAGTAATTCGTTGCTAAAATGTAATGCATAATGATTGTTGTATGTTTTAAAATATTATTTAGTTATATTATACTGACCAGAAAATGTAACAGGACTACGAGTGTTAAAACAGCAATATCATTTGTAGAAGACTTTCTGTTATATTGTTCGTGCATGATTTTCTGCTATCGGAATATCTATTGGATGTGCACCATCATTGGTGGAAGCTAAGTCCAGTTCTCCAAGACGCACCATTTCCCTAATGAGGATAAAAGAAAATAAAATTTATATTTCATCTAAATAAGAACTGAAATCATTAAAGGTCTTAAAAATTCATTATTAACTACCCGTAGGATAAGTTATTGTAATCATCTAAATCGAATTTGAAAATGTTTGCATTTCTTCAAGTTTTAAAAGTTTCTGTACATCTTGTCATGCCGCAGAAAAAATTAATGTGGAGTGTGTAGGTGTGTGTATATGTATGTTTGGATACAATTTTGTCAACAATTTCGGCACCACGCATCAACCGATTAGAATGTTTCAAAATACATTCGATTCCTACTTATGGGAAGACTTGCTGACTAATTTTGTCAAAGGCAGGTCCAGTCATTTCGAGGATACGGAGCAAAAATGCCAAGAATAGTGATTCAGTTTTTGAGGTAAAGGAGCACCCAATTTGAGTGATTTAAAGAACACGAGTTGATTAAATTTTTGAGAGTGTAAGGCCGGCGGTTTCGGAGATACAGAAGATTAAGTAAAAAAGATATATTTTGTGATCATTAGATATATGCACATCAAATGATCAGATATTTTATAGATTTCTAATATTTTTTGGGTTCCGTATCAAGATTTTTAAATTCGAAGTTTACTTATACGGTTAAAACAAGTTTCGAAATCTTAAATTTTTTTTTCATTTTCTAAAAATATACAAAGTTTTATACTTCAAATAAAATTTTAAATTAACAATTCAGTTTAAATATGCATATATTTCAAATGCGATATTATAACAATAAGGAATATATCCTCAGATCGGCATTTCTTGTTAATATAAACATTTTTAAGTGTTTTGTGCGATAAGATTGTCACTGTATATTATATGAACGATAAATTATAATATAGTAATATAAATTATCTCTTTGAAAATATTTTAAAAAGTTATTATTAAACATTGATCAATATTTATTAATAAAGATAAAGTTTCAATATTTACCTATATTTTTTCCTCAATTCTTTATTCTGGTACGGGAAGTTTTATACCTATACTATTATATATAATAGCAATCCGATATATAGTAATAAAAAAGCCTCGTCCGTCCGTAATTTGAAAATTTGCCTAAATTTCAGGCGTCCAAAATCTATTTTATTAAGGATTTAAATGTAATTTAAGCAAAACTGCCATGCGCCAGAAACTTCAATTATAATATGTACTAATACTCTTCAACATCATTGATGTGTT